GTTTTTGTGTTAATGTTGCTATATGGATTATTGAGCATGCATCAGGATAAATGTTGCTATCAGTTTATCCGCTTCAGTTCCTCTTTCCTGTGGGGTCCCGCAAGGCTCTATTATTGGACCATGTCTATTTTCACTGTATTTGCTCTCCTTGGGGTCTACCCTGAGGAAGCATGGTCTTTCTTTTCATTGTTATGCTTATGACTCTCAGATTTATCAAATCTTTTCATTCAACTTTTATTTAAACAGGTTAGTCCCATTGAGCCACGAGGACTCATTTAAAAAAGACCTGGATTTTAACAGAGTGATGACAACAGTAGATAACAACAACAATAATAGACATTCACAAATGATTCATAATTTTATTTTTTAAATAAATGAAAACAGTATGATAATTAAAAGGAGAAAGAAACGTAGTAAAAAAAACCCCAGCTAGATTACGAGGCGGTGTAGAAAACTAAAAACAGGAACATGTCTGCATTGGTTCTTGTCAGGAACTTAACATATGTTTAAAGCCACTTAGAGAGGTCAAGGTCTAGAGCTTCAGATCTTTTTACAAGATATTCCAGGAAACAGGAGCGAAGTAGGAGAAGGTCCTTTTGCCTAGTTCAGTTTTCACTGAAGGAATACTGCATGTACTAATGTCCTGAGAGCGCACGATGTAGCTGCACTACACTGTAGCTCTTAAAACCCAACAGTTCCTCCTCAATTCGCCCTTTGCTAAAATGTCTTGATGATATCAAGACTTGTATGGCTACGGACTTCTTAAGTTTAAATTATCAGAAAACTGATGTCATTGTGTTTAACCCTAGCTCTACAGCAGTCACTGATCCTGTAAACCTGGACTCCCTTCAGCCATATCTAAAGCAGCCTGTTACCAATCTCGGGATAGTTTAGACTCTGACTTTAATAAACAGATCAACTTTGTTCTTCAAAAAAACTTCTTTCAGCTAAGGCAGACAGCTACAGTAAGCTTAAGTCCTTGCTGTCCATATCCGACCTTGAAAAATTAGTCCATGCATT